ACTCTATATTTGACAATCTGTCTTTGAAAGCCTTATTTATAAGGCATCCCTTGATGTGGCACATCATATGCCATAAATTACTATGTAGTGAACGATTAACATGTCTGTTTTTAGACTATTATAAGAGAGGAGCTATTCTCAGCTCACCCTCATAAGCGGAGAACAGACATGCAAAAAAGCTTTAAAGAGAGTAGTGGTTCAAGAAGGGGGCTAAAACAAGGAAAGCAGAGAAGAAAAATATGTGTAGGGAAAAATAATAATTAACTTGTATTTTATAAAAATATAATCAAAATCAGTTTGTCTGCTTACCCTTGATAAAGGGATTCATTCAACAATCATTAATTACTAACCTGCAATAGACTAGGCGGTGCGAAGGAGAGCAATATGAACAACACATTACCTAAGTTCTAGAAAAGCCGTTTTATGGACATATATCCTAATTAATAGATTCCTGGGTGTTTCTTTCACATTTGATTATACCGAAGCGCATCTAATAAGGAATATAATACAAACTTATAAAGTACAAGAATTTTGCTAGCCTGAAAAGTTTTTTACCTACATCCCCCAGAGAGAAATAAAATAAACTAATATTATTTACTGTTTATTTTTGTTCTAAGTAGTTGGCTATTTATACGACTGAAAATAATTGGTAGGCATGAGGTGATACAAATTAATATAATACAGACTGGGCATGGTGACTCACGCCTGTAATCCCAGCACTTTGAGAGGCCGAGGCCAGCGGATCACCTGAGGTCAGGAGTTCAAGACCAGCCTGGCCAACATGGTGAAACCTTATCTCTACTAAAAACAGAAAATTAGCCGGGTACGGTGGCAGGCACCTGTAATCCCAGTTACTGAGGACGCTGAGGAAGGAGAATCACTTGAACCTGGGAGGCAAAGGTTGCAGTGAGCTGAGATTGCACCACTGCACTCCATCCAGTCTGGGTGACAGAGTGAGACCCTGTCTCAAAAAAAAAATAAATAAATAAAATAAAATTAATGTAATACATCCTTAGCTTTTGGAAGTTATATACTACTACTGTTTTATTTTATATACCACAAAATAATTTGCAACTCTAATGTACACTAAAAGGATCGTATCTAAACTACAACAGAGAAATAAATGCTGAGCTTTAGGTTTATATCAGAAGAAATACTCAAATGTTGGTGTTGGTAATTTTAGTTCCCGGGTAACAATACTCACTGGACAGTTTATAGCCTACTTCTAGTTAGAAGTTTCCATTCTTATCCTCCTTTCTGTTTCTTCCAAAAAGCAACAAACCAGTTTTAAAGATTTCCTAAGATATTGTGTTCTGCTCATGATCTGTGAAGAAGCCCAAGAGCTAGAACCTTAGCATTATAAGATTGCCAATAAGTTCTTTGTTAATCTTCTATTATCAGGTTTTTTAAATGGGGATAAAAATATTAACCTTCTCCCTCAATAGATTGAAAGCCATATAAATTCTTAACATTTTCCCTTCTAAGGAGGGAGGGACTGAACATGTTATATAATATGGACGAGACACTGTGTTTTTCATATTTTATATCTTATGTTGTATAATTTTCATTTACTTTTGAGGCAAGTATTACTATCTTTTGTTTTGTTTTTCGAGACAGACTCTCACTGTCACCCAGGCTGGAGTGCAGTGGCATGATCTTGGCTCACTGCAACTTCTGCCTCCTGGGTTCTAGCGTTTCTCCTGCTTCAGCCTCCTGAGTTGCTGGGACTGCAGGCTTATATCGCCACCCCGGCTAATTTTTTAAATTTTTTAGTAGAGATGGGGTTTCACCATGTTGGCCAGGCTGGTTGCGAACTCCTGACCTCAGGTGATCCACCCGCCTCGGCCTCCCGAAGTGCTGGAATTATATGCATGAGCCACTGTGCCCAGCCCAAGACAAGTATTATTATCTTTCTTAGAGATGTAAGTTTCTTAAATTGTAAGTTTCTTATAGAACCCATGTAACTGGCTTAAAGTCATATAATCAAATGATAAAGGTTGCATACAAACACTAGTCAAATTCCAAGCCTGATGTGCTTTTTATTCCACGAATTGCTTCTCCCTTTTTAATTCAGCTAAAACTTTTTTGTACAGTTATATTTTGTAATAATTTTTAGTTTACTAATTTATAAAATTTGCTTATAGTTTTGAAGCTTTTACAAACACACTTGTAACTGCTAGTCATTGTGATCTTTCTTATTATAAGCATTCTTTACTTGGTAAAATGAAATTGACTTGAGAAATTTACTGAATCAAGTAATTGATTAATATTTGATGACTAATCTTAATCATTTACTTAGTATGTAGATAAATGTCAGATGTGATTTTGGCAAATATGGGAAGTTTTCTTTTAACAGGCTTTAATTTTAGGAAATCCTAGTGTAGTGTGAATAATTGAGCACAATTTGTATTCTTTCAAAGAGAAAAAAAATCCTTTTGATGCCTTTTAGAAATGTCTGTGACTTCCTCAGGAGAGGGAGAACTAAGAGGAATGATTTACCTTCTAAGTTTTCTTCCAGTGTAATTTACCATTGATAATGGCAAGGAGGTTCTTTTCTGATCTTTATATATTTCCATTTACTATCAATCAAAATACAATGTTATGATGACAAATGTACTAATTTGCTATTCAGAAATTACTGATAGCAAAACTGATTAATGTAGTTAGTAATTAGATCTTTAAATATTTGGATATTATTTTTGGCTTATATTAATTATATTCTTTTAAAATGCAAAAAAAATTTACAGAAATATTCTCTTGAGTAATATTTAAGGAATATTTTCAGAAGGGCAAAATTTAGAATACATGGCTTGAATGAAATACTGGATAAATAGGAAATAAGTGTGCCCTTTTACTATTTTTTTACTATATTTGTCTTCTGGGGAAGTCAAATATTTGTTAGACTATTTGTGCTGTAACTTGCTGTGTCTTGCTATATGTGTTCTCTTATAGACACTTTTAAAGATATAATATTCCAAAGGGCTTAACCTAACTAGATTAGACTCTTCTATGCTTTTTGCCAAATAATGGAAAAATATTTCTTTTGTTTAGACATAGATGCCCTCGTAGGAGGAGAAGTTGGAGGCTTGGAGTTTGGCAAGTTGCCATTTGGTGCCTGCGAGGATCCTATTAGGTGAGAATTTCAATCTGTCATTTGAATTGTGGCATTATTTTACTTGGAATTTATATTGATATTGATTTTACTGTGCTTTATGATGCTATAGGTTGCTGGGATGAATGTAGTACTGGAAATAAAGACCTACACCTGGGTGGGGCACAGGCTCAAGCCTGTAATCCTAGCAACTTGGGAGGCTGCGGCGGTTGGCTTGTGAGGTCAGGAGTTCAAAGCCAGCCTGACCAATGTGGTGAAACCCCATCTCTACTGAAAAATTAAAAAATTAGCCGGGTGTGGTGGTGCATGCCTGTAATCACAGCTACTTAAGAGGCTAAGGCACAAGAATCACTTGAACCCAGCAGGCAGAGGTTGTGGTGAGCTGAGATCACACCACTGTACTCTAACCTAGGCAACAGAGCGAGACTCCATCTCAAAAGAGAGAGAAAGAGAGAACTACACTTGCTTTCTTTATTTTGTAATTTTACATGAAAACTTTCTGAGATTTAATATTCATCTATAATAAGAGTTCAGCAAACTGTGCTTTGAGCCAAATCTGGCCATTAGCCTATTTTTATATGGCCAGTGAAATCAAGATGGTATTTGTATTTTTAAAGGTTATAAAAAATAAAATAGAGACTGTATATGGCTCACAAAGCCTAAAGTATTTACTCTCTGGCTCTTTATAGAAAATATTTGCCAACTTCTGATCTGTAACATTTTTCAGACTTGAGATATAATTTACCTACCATAAAATTCACTATTTAAAAGTGTGCAATTCAAGGTTTTTAATATTTACAGAGCTGTGCAACCATCATAACCATCGAATTCCAGAACATTTTCATAACCTTAAAAAGAAATTCTTTACCTCTTAGCCATCATTTCCCTCCCCCGTCTTTCCAGCCCCTCCAGCTTTCTGTCTCTTTGGATTTACCCATTCTGGACATTTCGTATAAATGAACTCATATAACATGTGGCTTTCTTTGTGTCAGATTTCTTTTAATTAGCATGTTTTCAAGATTTGTCCATGTTGTAGCATGCATCAATCCCACTTTATCCATAGTGGGTATGTTGCAAGCCCCCCAGTGGATGAATGAAGCCATGGATAGTACCAAACACTAAATATACTGTTTTTTGTTGTTGTTGTTGTTGTTTTCTGAGACGGAGTTTCACTATCGTTTCCCAGGCTGGAGAGCAATGGCATGATCTTGGCTCGCTGCAACCTCCGCCTCCCAGGTTCAAGCAGTTCTCCTGCCTCAGCCTCCCGAGTAGCTGGGACTACAGGCGTGTGCCACCACACCCAGCAAATTTTTTGTGTTTTTAGTAGAGACAGGGTTTCACCATCTTAGCTAGGATGGTGTTGATCTGTTGACCTCGTGATCTGTGGGCCTCGGCCTTCCAAAGTGCTGGAGTTATAGGCATGAGCCACCATGCATGGCCAAATGTACTGTTTTTTTCTATGCATACATATCAGTAATAAAGTCTAATTTATATATTTGGTACAGTAAGATTTCCATATGTAGTAATAAAAATAAATAAATAAATAAATAAACAATATAAATTAGGCACAGTAAGAGACAGACAACACTAACAATAACATAGAGCAGCTATAACAATATGCCTTAGTAAAAGTTACGTGAATGTGATCTCTTTGTCTCTCTCAGTATATCTCACTGTACTATGTGCACTCTTCCCCTTGTAATCTCCTTGGTCACCAAGACAGTTACTAAGTAACTAACAGGGCAGGTAGCATAGACAGTGTAGATGTACTCAACAGAGGGATGGTTCACCTCCTGGGGCAGGATGGCACAAGATTTCCTCATGCTACTCAGAACAACATGCTATTTTAAATTTGTGGATTGTTTTATTCTGGAATTTTTCACTTAATATTTTCAGACTGCAGTTAATTTGGGGTAACTGAATGTGCAGAAAGTGAAGCTGTGGATAAGGGGGAACTAATGTACTTATGTGCTTTTTATGGCTGTAAATATACCATTGTATAGATATGCCACATTTTGTTTATCCATTCATTAGTTGGTGAGTTATTTATGCTTTTTGTCTATTATGTATAATGTGATTAATGTTTGCAAAACATTACCTTCATAAGGATGTGCTACCATTGCTAAATAAGTTGTTTCCAGTTTGTGTATTATAAATAATGCCACTCTAACATATTTTTATTTCCTTAGGATAGTTTTCTAGGTATTGAATAGAATTGCTGAGTCAGTATTAAAGCTTTTGGGTGTATTTTATGTTTTATTTTAGTGAACTCCATTTAGCTACTACCTGGCCTCATCTGACTGAAGGGATCATTGTGGATAATGATGTTTATTCGTAAGTATGTTAAGAGTAGTATGTTGAAATTAAAAAACTTCAGTAGAGTAAATTAACTCCCAAATTGCTAGTAATTTTTATATGCATTTTTTATTTTGTTTTGATTTTGGTGTTCCCTTTTGTATTTTATTGTCTAAAAACTTTTTAAAAACTTATCCAAATGGCTGTATGTATCTGGATAACAGCAAGTTTAAGTGAGACTAAATGGATTGTTTATTCTTTATGTTTTCATACATTTTGATAAGTTCATGAATCTTGCAGATTGTCATAATTAGGATCTTACATTTATTGGTTTGCATTTTAGTGATTTGGATCCTATTCAAGCTCCGCATTGGTCTGTTAGAGTTCGAAAAGCTGAGAATCCTCAGTGTTTGCTAGGTAACGTATATTATGCTCCTTTCCTGAAATACCACTGATCTGCCTACCTTCCAAATCAGAAACCCTGCATACATTCTTTATACTTTGTCATCTCCTCAGTTAACACCATGTAGGACAAAAATCATTGCTAATGGCAGTGAATCCTTTTTTGAACAGAGCCAGCAGGATTTCTTTCTTGTCTTCCAGTTTTGTCTTCCAGTTCTATACCTTAGAATTCTCCACTATTTTCTCATTATCTCAGCTCTATTTTTCTGATGTCTTTTTTCTTTTTTTTTTTTTTTTGAGACAGAGTCTGGCTCTGTCACACAGGCTGGAGTGTAGTGGCACAATCTCAGCTCACTGTGACCTCCACCTCCTGGGTGCAGGCGATTCTCCTGCCTCAGCCTCCTGAGTAGCGGGGACTACAGGTGCGTTCCACCACACCTGGCCAATTTTTTTTGTATATTTAGTAGAGACAGTGTTTCAGTATGTTAGCCAGGACGGTCTTGATCTCCTGACCTTGTGATCTGCCTGCCTTGGCCTTCCAAAGGGCTGGGATGATAGGTGAGAGCCACCGCTCTCGGCCTTCTGATGCTTTTATGTTACTTGCTTTCCCTCCTCCTGTGGCATAGTCTCAATCCTCTATTCCTGTTAATGAACCCGTTTTAGACTTTTGTTGTCCCTCTAGACCTGTGTTATCTGAAGAGCGCTGTTCTTGATGGCGCACATTAGAGCCCTTCTGTAGAGTTGCGTCACTCTGTAACCTATTTTCTGATATGGGAAAAGAAGTGTGAATAATTTTAATACACCTCACAATTTGAGGGATCAAGTGAAATAACGTAAATGGAAGTACTTTGAAAAATATTAATTGCTATTCAGATCATACTATTGTGTGTTATGGCTGGGATTCATCCCCTTCCCTTTTTTAGGTGTATCTCTTTCATGAAGTCTTTTGAACTCATCTCCTCAATGTGCCTTGTCATGCTTTTCCTCCTTATATTTAGTACACATGAAAATATTTTGTCCTTTTTTTAATGTTCATCCATGCCACCTTAACTCCCTATCATTTGGTATACTATCATTTAACTGATGGAGTTACCAAAATATTTATTATGACAATAATGATGCATTTCTCTAAAGCATTGTTTTCTTGAGCTCTTTAGCATTCATATGCTATTTGTCAAATGCTGATTAGTAGTTGCCATTTCTGCTGACTATATAATAGCAAAAACAAAGATGTATAAGGTATAAGTCCCACCACTGGCAAATTTGTCTGGGGTTTTAGGGCAACAGTATAGGGTCAGTGTCGAGTTTTACAGTTATACAGACCTTAGTTCAAATTCTAGATTGACCAGGTTGGGCAAGTTTCTTAATCTTTTTTAGCCCCAGAGTCCTCGTAAGTAAAATAGCAGTAACGCTGGTACATACTTCATTGGATTATTGGGAGAATCAAATGAGATTATGTGCCTGTGTGTGTGTGTGTGTATGTATCACATTTAACACAGTGCCTTTGTTATAGTGAATGAACAGTAAATGGTTTGTGTTGTTCAATTGTTGAATTACTACACATTATATTTACGTTCTAAGTTGTTTCTTAATAACATTATTATTCCTTGTCTTTTGACTTCTGTGGTAGTTGCAGAGGACCTTAGAACTGAAAGTATTCTCATTTTAGTTTAATGTTCCATGATCTTACCCTACCTCTTTTAATATTTTGTATGACTAGATTATAGACTTTTCCTACCTTTCTGAAGAAGCCCCAAAAGAGTTATGGGTTAATTCAGAATTAGTTGGTGAATTGTAAAATTTAGATGTACTTGATGTATTTTAGTACTGATAGTATTTGTTAAGCATTCATTTACTTGTGTAAACATTGGAGCTCTTTAGAAGATTCAACTTGCTTTACCTCTTTTTATAATAATGACCGACAGCTGGGTGCAGTGGCTCATGCCTATAATCCCAGCACTTTGAGAGGCTGAGGCAGGCGGATTGCTTGGGCCCAGGCATTCGAGACCAGACTTGGCAACATAGTGAAACCCCATCTCTACAAAAAATACAAAAATTAGCTAGGCATGGTGATGCACACCTGTAGTCCCAGCCTCTACCCAGGAGGCTGAGGTAGGAAGATCATCTGAGCCTGGGAGGTCAGGGCTGCAGTGAGCCATGATCATGCCACCGTACTCCAGCCTGGGCGACAAAATAAGCCCTGTCTCAAAAATAATAATAATAATGACAGAAAGCATACCTTTAATATGTAACAGAAACTGAAATATCTTTATCCTACATGATTTCCTAATTCTCTAGAAACATATCTTTAGCGTTTCTTTTTATTTATTAATGGATTTAGATTCTAGTAGTGTAGCAGTTGGAGAAGGATCACTACTATATAGAGTAAGTTCTTCTTACTTATATAACTTAATGACAAATGGATACTTTGTCTCATTGAGGCATAGAGTAAGAACTTACTATTAGGTACAGTTCTTTTTTTCTTTCCTCCTGGAAGGAGTTCTAAGGAAAAGCTTTTTAAATGTCCTAGGACATGGAGAGAAAGAGGAGAACAAGACTACCTTTGATATAGGATTAATTTTTGTCTTTTTTAGTGGAAAAATGAATAGTTTTACTTTCTACCATATCTTAATTAATAGCTTTTTGGAAAAAATACTTTATAGGACTGATTTTTTTTTTCAATTAAGTGTCAAAAATGATTAACTTTTTCTACCTAGGTGATTTTGTCACTGAATTTTTTAAAATTTGCCGTCGAAAGGAGTCAACTGATGAGATTCTTGGACGATCAGCATTTGAGGAAGAAGGCAAAGGTAACCTACCTTTTTTTTTAAACATTATTTTAAAATATCTTGTCCTTTTTCTTGGCACGTTTTTCAGCAACTTTTCATCTATTTTTTCTTTTGAATTAAGTTGGAGAATCAAGTTTTGATGGACTAGACAGCTACAGTTTCTTTCCAGGCTGTACCTAAGCGCTTGTGAAGACATTAAGGGCATTTAATAAGTTCTTTGCACCAAACCTGTAAAATATTTTGAAAAGCAGAGTTTTAGAGGTTAAATTATGAAGCCTCCTGGGGAGAAATAATTTGTGTGATACCGTCGTCACTCATGCTTGCATATAAAGCTGAATATGTATATTACTATTTTATAATTCTGAGACCATGTAACGCTAGTAAAAAGAATGAATAAAATATTCCATACAGTCATCAATTTGCTCATCACTCTGACCTGCTAAGGTTGGTGATATATTTATGTCTGTTCTTTTTTTAGAAATTGCTGATATATCTCATGCTTTGTCAAAATTGACAGAGCCAACACCAGTTCCAATTCATAAATTATCAGTTTCAAATATGGTACATACTGCAAAGAAGAAAATTCGAAAACACAGAGGTGTAGAAGAGTCACCGCTGAATAATGATGTCCTCAATACTATTCTTCTGGTAATAAATGATCTGTCTTTATAGGTCTATATGCATAATCATATATTCATTATGTATTCAGTTCCTTCTATGTGGTAGGCACTGACTTTGGGATATAAAATGAGTAAAAGAGTTATCACATTTAGAAAATTCCTACTAGTGTAGTGGCGAGAAGGAAAGTAAATAGTAGTTACAATACCCTGTTACATGTGAGAAATCTGGCAAAGGGGCTGTGACAGCACAGCAGAGGTGCATCTGTCTCTGTCTGGGCAGTGGGAATCAGGGAAGGCTTCATGAATAGGGACATTTGAGCTGAATCTTGAAGAAAAGAAGGTTTTAGAAGCAGAGGAATAGCAGAAGTCCAAGAGCATGTTGAACAGTTGATATTTTGTAACGTGCTTCCAGGAGTGTGACTAGGGTTAAGGCTGGAGAAGTAACGGGTAACCTGCCATGCTGAAAAACTGGCATTTATCTTACAGTTTAAGTAGAAGATCAACATGATCAGAATTATATTTTTGAAAGGTTGCTTTGACAACAGTTGAGAGAAAGCTTTTAGTGAGAACGAGAGGGAGTTAGAGTAGAGGGCTAAGGTGGCTCCTAGGGATAACGTGGTGGAATGGCCCCAGCTTGGGGGCCTTCTACAACATGGTTTTATGTCACATGACTTACTGCATGACTTTGAATAAGTCACTTCAGTTTCCTTATTTATAAAATATACTTAACAAAATCTTGCAAAGTTGTTGTGAGGATTAAAGGATCTTCTGTAACACTGCCTAGCATGTATGGGCCTTTGATAAATGATAGCTATTCTTACTGTAATTATGGTTAAAATCATACTCCCGGAAATTTGTGCATTAAGACAGCCTTGGGAAAAGCCTTCAAGAAAAATGTTGAAAAGAAAACTGGACTTGGAAACTTAATGTTAATCTTATCCCCTGCCATTTATCTGAACAAAACTCGTAGCCAACTTTTCAGCTTGTAGATCGTAAGATATGGACGGTGATACTTAGCTTACACAGTTGTATGAGAATAGGATAATGATGGTAATTATGCCTAGTATTGGCATTTGGCATATAGTAGGTCCTCTAATTTTTAAAACTCTATTGGACATGTTCTACAATATGTGGCAAAGTATACATAGTAAGAGGGATTACTAGTCAGCAGTACCACAAAACAATTGAGAGGAACAGCGATAAAAGGACTGTAAATAAATTTCTGTAGAGAGCCTCCTTCTTAAGACTGTATTCTTAAAGAATGCTATTCAAATCATATAGCTCAGTTGTCATGTACACTGAATTTTTTTGACTACTCCCACGCATATATATAAACAGAAACCACATGGAAAAGGTACCTTGGTTATTATAGGTTTAGACTGCTTCCTACTTTCTGGGGGTATCATAAAATAAAGTTGTGAGTCTTGAATATCATCTCTTAGTAGTCTATGTATGAAAGCCTGTGGATGATATAACTTAAGATTCTCACGAGTACATGAGTGTTTTTAAACTGTGTTTTATAGTTTTGTTTTTTAAATGGTAGTAACACTAAAAAAATGTAATGGCCTTGGATGAGCATGAAGTCACAGTGAAGAGATTTTGCTTTTGCACCATTCAGATTACAGAATCAAGTGATTACTTGTAAGAAAAAAATTCTGATTTCTAAAATTGGCTAGTCACTGAAACCTTGTGTATTTTCAAAGAAAAATTGAAAAAATTTGAGAATGTAGAACAAACTGGCCAGTACAACTGGAACATTTCCATTGTTTTAGCAGCAAAACCAATAAAAGTTAAATAATGTCTATATGAGTTATAAAAATCAACAAAGGAAATGTGCTCTAAAATCTGATTATTTTTTTTCTTTTCTTCAAGTTCTTATTCCCTGATGCTGCTTCTGAGAAAACATTAGATGGAACTACTTCAACAGATAATAATAATCCACCATCAGAGAGTGAAGACTATGTAAGTTGATTTGGAGTTAATATTAAAATGTTTTAAATGCACTGAATTTCCAGAGGTTCTATATATTTCTAGCTTAATAGCCTAATATCTTTTTCTTTTAAAAATTACCTTGAGAATTTTGGATGGGAGATCATGGTTTCCACCTAGATAACGAACTAGCACAGATACATATTTTGGGTAGCAAGAATTTTTCTGGAAACAGTGAAAAAATTGCATGAATATACTGTGCACAGCTGTGGGATTTCCCTCATTGTAGAGTTGTGGTGACTTCATTAAATTTATGTTTTTCAACAGTTTCTTTTCTATATATTTTTTGGTTTTATTTCTTTTCTATATTTTAAAACTAGTTAGTGAGTGGAAAACTCTTTAATGAAGGGTTAGGTGCAGTGGCTCACGCCTGTAATCCCAGCACTTTGGGAGGCCAAGGCAGGCGGATCACAAGGTCAAGAGATCAAGACTATCCTGGCCAACATGGTGAAACCCTATCTCTACTAAAAATACAAAAATTAGCTGGGTATGGTGCTGCACGCCTGTAGTACCAGCTGCTCGGGAGGCTGAGGCAGGAGAATTGCTTGAACCTGGGAGGCAGATGTTGCAGAGAGCTGAGATTGCGCCACTGTACTCCAGCCTGGTGACAGAGCAAGACTCCATCTCAAAAAACAAACAAACAAACAAAAAACCCAAAAAACAAAAAACAACAAAACCTCTTTAAGTAAAATGTGTAAAATTAGGTAAAATTTTCTTGGTCTCTTTGCCCAGTCTTTGAAAAATTAAGAAGTGGAAGAATTTAAATGACAAGTGTAGATATATATCAAACTTTCCAGTAGTTACTGCTGAGAAGTAGATTTCATGAGGTGAGAAAAAAAAGCAAAGGCTTTTTACATTTTCAGTTTATACTGTTATAATTTTTGTTGTTTGTTTAGATATGCTCATTTTGTAACTAAAAGATTTTTAAAGCAACACATGAAATTTGGAATACTTCCTAATGATTCCACAGAAGATATTGAAAGCTATAACTTTAGCTTTATTTTAACTATAGCTTTTTTTTTTTAATCTTAGCAGAAATCTTGAAAATATGGGACTGCCTAAGAATAGTGTATGCAGTAGTGTATTAGACATTTGATAATGCCTAGGTTAGGTGGGATAGGTTAATTTTAGAATTATAATCTCTCCCTACAAACTTTTCAATTATACGTGTAAAATATTTTGTTAACAAGTTTGCTTTGTTTCTATTTTGTGAAATTTAGAATCTCTACAATCAGTTCAAGTCTGCACCATCTGACAGTTTAACATACAAATTGGCTTTGTGTCTCTGTATGATCAATTTTTACCATGGAGGGTTGAAAGGAGTGGCACACCTCTGGCAGGAATTTGTTCTTGAAATGCGTTTCCGATGGGAAAACAACTTTCTGATTCCCGGGTAATAATTTCAATTTTCAATTGTTTAAATAGGATTTTGTTTGTTAGCAGACTTTTGATTTTTGACCCATTTTTTTCTCCCCTTCTGGAGAATGTGCCCTAAGAAAATGGTAAGAAGCTTAGACCTGATTTATGTTCAGAGGTGTTCACTGCAGCAAATTTATTAATACAATAGAAAAAAAGGGAAAACCTAAATATCAAACATAAAAATATAGTTAAATTTTGCTGTCTCTCTATAATAGAAAATTACAGATTGATTATGATTTTTTTCCCAAGAATCTTTAATAACAGATATTCATATTGTTTCTAATAAAGTAGAATATAATGCGTATACAAAATGCTTTTAATTATGTTGCTATATTTGCACAGAAAAAAGATTTGAAAGAAATACAGTGAAATGCTATCAGTTTTTCCCAGTGTGAAATTATATTTTTATTTTGTTCTTTATACTTTTATGTGTTTTCAAAGTCTTTTGTAATAAATCTGTATTTTGATGAACAGAACATTTTCATTAGCACATACGGTGATATTGCATAGTTCAGTGCTCATCTACCCATGCTAAGAGAGGAGAATCATGATTATTAGCAATATAAAATGATTACTGATCCAAAAACATTTTACATCATTTGCCAATCTCTGCTTAGCTGGATTCTCTCTTGGTTCTAGAGAGTTGGCTCTGGAACTTGTTACAGACCCAGAAGCATGTTGAATATGAGGGAGTGCCTCTGGCTGATTGCTGGGAATCTAATCATCTAGAGAAACCTAGAACTAGAAACAGTTTGAGGTCCTATTGAAATACAGGTGGAGATCTTGGTTTTTATAGTAAGAATCTACTCTAAAAATTTAGTACTGGATACACAAACTGATTTATTTTGTATGGTATGACATACTGCATGCTAGGTACTTCCTGGGGTGGGTTTAGGGACTTGTTCTCTTTTTAAATTTTTATAAGCCTGAAAACTACCCATAATTTGCTTTTATACTTTAAAGTATCTATTATATTTGCTATTGGTGATTTG